GACAACATGTCCGAAGTATAATGTCGAGGATCGTAATTAATCAGTACGAAATGCACAATGAAGGATATTACCTAATCACTTGGAATATATTTAACGTCTGGTTCAGTTCACATCTTTCAGTTTTGCATATTTACTTCCGAAATTGTTCGACAATTATGCGAAATTAGGAACTGTGATCCTTGCAGGTATCACGGTGTTCCCTTTGGTATTTCTCAGTAAAACGATTAGAATTTATATCAAGGGCTTTTATTTTGCAAATTCTCATTTCATCTTTCAACTAGTCGACTGCATATGACAATGAAGCACACTTGACAATATGTGAAACAAAAGACTCTTTTTGTCATTTACATTAGAATTTTACATAGTAACTAAGAAATATTCGTGAACATTTTGGAATATTTTAAAGCCAAAACAAAATTTAAAAAGAAGATCAGGAAAAAATAAAAATAAAAATTTAACAAGTATAAACTGGAAATTTTTTCTATATACTAGGGTATATATTTTTAAAATAGAGTTACACAGTTAGAAATAGAGTTAAATATCTTTATAGCTTTCAGTCAAGTAAATAACTTAATTTCCATCAACTTGAATTTATTTAATATTATATATTTTATATAATTTATTATAATATAATTTTATATAATTTACTAGCGTGAACCTATTATTTAATTCAGACGGAATATACTTTCATGTTTCTACGCTTGATCTTGTTAGTCGAATCGCTGACTATACAATTAAGGCCGATTAAATTTTTATTACAATTTGTTTCAGCACTGTTTCGTGATTTCCTACAGAAGAGAAAATCAACGGCAATACGAATTAAAAGCAGCTACAGACTCCGACTGTAAAATGTGGATCGATGCTATACGAGAAGCTAGGTAATTATTGCGTATGTAATTTGTAATGTATAAATTAGAAATTTACAAGGATATTATAACTGAACTAAAAAAGTATTTTATTTTAAATTAATTCATCGAAAAACATCGGAAAATTGAGTAATAATTTGATAAATTAACGACTATTTCTGGAATTAAATAAAAGTTTGTTTTTTTATTTTATTATAAAGTTTCTTCCTATTTGTCTTTTATTTCTTTGCTTCTTGCTTTCTACCATTGTAAATGTGGTTTGTAACTTTTATTATAGACTTCTGCCTGTTTTCTGCACTTTCATTTCTGAAACAAGTTTCATACTTTGGTCGTTAGTAATTCCAGCATTAAACGAATTTAAACGAATTAGTACAACATTCTGTTGAATTTTCATTTCATAAAAGTGAATTCAAATAACCTACCAATGTCCTACGTTATAAAATAAAATATATTCTAAAATACACGAAAATAAGGAACAAAAGAAAATAAAATATAGAATTTATTTAGAATGAAACAAAATTGAAGTATAAAAATAATACCTTGATATATGACGCACAAAATACATTAAAAGAATATTTAACAATCACTGGTTAAAATCGAAGCTTCTTAAGATATTAAAAAAAAAAAAATAGATCTCTAACGTGCAAAAGACGAGAACATGAATTATGGAACGATAATTTCTCACGCGTTGGTCTTTCGTTTATTCTGAAAAATGAGCAGCGAAATTATTTTTTTATATTATTTGCACAGCTTGGACGGATAGAATAATTTATAGATTATAGATCACTTGCTTCTTTTAAATTAATGGTTTTGCCCATGTGACGAACATAATCGTGCTGAAACCAATGTTTCAAAATGTGTTAAATGAGCACGACGTTTTCTATATGTGCCATTAATATCGCTCATTCCTCATCAATTTTTTTTTCTTCTTTTGATCATTGTTTCTGACTGTTCTTTTATTGAAATAAAATTATAGATTAATGAAATTTACGAATACTATATTCACGATTTGTATAACATACATAATATTTCAAAAGTAATTCTAATTTACAAATTAATTATTCAGATTCGAAAAACGTCTAGAACCCTTCATTTTCTTTCTTAAATATTTAAAATTTTACATATCTAAACTTCTGTGTTTTTCAAAATTATTTTATCAAATATTCATCATTTATTTTATAATTGTTTCATCATAAACAATACAAATAGATTGTATATGAATCTTTATGCTCAATTTTATATTTTTATATCCAATTAAAAAAAATGAAGCCTAAGCGGAAATTTCGTTTTCTAAATATTATTATTTAATTGCAAGTTTTATGCATTTATGAAATATTTAAGGGTACAAAAATGCATGCAATTCACATAATACACAAAAATGTGTGTATATGATAAAATAACCAAAATGCAATATTTGTCATAAACCAGATCTCAATTTTTTAATTCTTTTCGAAAACATAAACGAACTTGCATAAAAATCCGCAGTATAATTATAACAAATGTATAAAATTATTTAAAAAATCTTATTTTAAACATATTATAAGATACACTACTTTCTGTATTTTATATATGTTTAAAATATATATTAAATATAAAATATATATAAAATTTATATTATTAAAAATATATAATATTTTAATATATATAATTATTAAAAATATATTAAATATAAAATATATATAAAATGTATATTATTAAAAATATATAATTATTTAACAAATCTTATTTTAAACATATTATAAGATACTCTGCTTTCTGTATTTTATATATTTTTGTATATTACGTGCATTTTCTACATTTTGCATCTTTAAAATTCCCCTAAAAGCGTAAAAATACTTCGTTCATCTATAAATTGTAAAAGTTTTATGATAAATGTCTGAATACTTTCGCGAGCCACTGTACCCCCTTGTGAGTTAATAGGTTTCTGTAGTTAGTAGCATCTCGCGATTCGGTACATACCATAGTCGTACTTTCATATTACTTCAGGGAATAGCATGTTTTTGCGATACTCTCAAGTTTGCCTTCAGTGTCACGGACTAGCGACTATCGATCGAATTGGAGCTGGTGGAAGAGAGAGAGAGAGAGAGAGAGAGAGAGAGA